CAGGCAGCTGCGGCCATCTCGATTATGCAGCGAGATCTGAATGCCCTGCAGCCCAAGTTGGTGGCCTTGGCGGAGGCTTCCCGCAAAATGATGCTCGAGATCAACAAGGAGACGCTAGCTGCCAGCGCCGCCGCCGAGCAAGTAAAGCGGGACGAGGAGGTGGCTTCCGTGCAGGCCGAAGCCGCTCAGGTGCTGAAGCAGGACTGTGAACGGGATCTGGCCAAGGCCATTCCTGTCCTGGAGGATGCCCTGGCTGCTTTGAACACTCTCAAGCCGGCGGACATAACGCTGGTTAAGTCGATGAAGAATCCCCCACCCGTGATCAAGCTGGTCATGGCCGCCGTCTGTGTGATCAAGGGCATTCCGCCGGAGCGAATTCCAGACCCAGCCTCCGGAAAAATGGTCCAGGACTACTGGGGACCCAGCAAGCGACTGCTGGGCGAGATGAACTTCCTGCCGGCCCTAAAGGAGTTCGACAAGGACAATATTCCACCGGATATCATAAAGCGCATTCGCAAGGAGTTCATCCCCAACAAGGACTTCGACCCCAAAGTGGTAGCCAAAGCCTCGAGCGCCGCCAAGGGTCTGTGCCAGTGGATCATCGCCATGGACATGTACGACGAGGTGGCCAAGGTGGTGGCGCCCAAGAAGGCCAAGCTGGCTGGCGCTGAGAAGGAGTACGCCGACACCATGGAGTTCCTGGCCCAGAAGCGGGCCTTGGCCCTGGCTCTGGAGGAGAAGGTGGCGCTGCTGAATATCGAGCTGGACAAGGCGAACGCGGAGATGCAAAAGACGGAGGATCATGCAGAGAGCTGCCGGAACAAACTGCTCCGGGCGGAGGCCCTTATCGGTGGATTGGGTGGCGAAAAGTCGCGCTGGAACAAGGCGGCAGAGGATCTGCAGGAGCTATATGACCACTTGCCCGGGGATGTGCTTATTTCCTGCGGCATCATCGCCTACCTGTCGGCCGTGAATCTGCAGTACCGCTCGGAATGCGTCAAGGATTGGTTTAAGAAAGTCACCGACTTGAAGATTCCCTGCTCCGCCCACTACTCCATCTCTGATGTACTGGGCCTGGAGGTCACCATTCAGAACTGGCAGCTGGACGGGCTACCCAACGACGAGTTCTCCAGCGAGAATGCCATTATCTCGGCCAATTCCAGCCGGTACAGCCTATTCATCGATCCGCAGGCCCAGGCCAACAACTGGCTGAAGAACATGGAGCGGAAGAACCGGCTAAACTGCGTCAAGTTCAACCAGAGCAACTACATGAAGGTAATTGCGGAGGCTCTTGAGTACGGAACACCCGTGATCATTGAGAACGTGCAGGAGGAGCTGGAGGTCCCACTTGATCCCATCCTGATGCGACAGACCTTCTTGCAGGGTGGCGTTAAGCATATCAGCCTGGGTGAGGCGGTGGTGCCGGTAAATCCGAACTTTCGCTTGTACATGACCTGCAACCTGCGCAATCCGCACTTTCTGCCGGAGACCTTCAACAAAGTGACCGTCATCAACTTTGCCCTCACTCAGAACGCCCTGATGGATCAGCTGCTTAGCATTGTGGTGGCCAAGGAGCGACCTGACCTGCAGGAGCTGCGTATCACGCTCACCACAGAGGCGGCGGCCAATAAGGGAGCTCTACGGGATGCGGAGAACATGATCCTGAAGACGCTTAGCGCTGGCGGCGACATTCTGGAGAACGAGGCTGCTATCCAAATCCTGGCGGATTCCAAGGGACTGTCCAAGGACATCGTGGAGAAGCAGGAGGCAGCCAAGGAGACGGTGGCCAAGATCGAGGCCTTTCGGCTCAACTACAAACCCGTGGCAGTTCATTCCTCTATCCTGTACTACTCCATCACGGATCTGCCCAACATCGATCCCATGTACCAGTTCTCCCTGAATTGGTACATTAATCTCTACATGTACTCCATTGAGACGGCCAACAAGTCCAAGGATCTGCCCAGGCGCATCAAGTTCCTGGTGGATGGCTTCACTCGAAATCTGTACAACAACGTGTGCCGCTCCATTTTCGAGAAGGATAAGCTCCTCTACTCCTTTATCCTCACCGCTCGCATCCTGCTGGGCACGGGTCAGGTGGAGATGCGCCACTTTGCTCACCTGGTCACGAATGCCAAGGAGTCCACGAACCTGCCCCCCAACCCGGATCCCAGCTGGATAACAGAGACAGTGTGGCTCAATGTGCTTCGCCTGGAGGAGCTCAAGGAGCTGCGTGGCATCGTGGAGCATTTCAAGAGCAATCTGCGCGCCTGGCAGGCGATCTACGACCACTTTTCGCCGGAGAAGCAACCACTACCGCCTCCGTGGCACGACAAGACCACCGCCTTCGAAAAGATCATCGTGCTGAAGGCGCTGCGACCCGACTCTGTTTTCCTGGCGGTGCGCATCTTCATCGCCGAGTGCATCGGAGATCAGTATGTGACGCCGCCGGAGTTTGACATCTCCAAGTCGTATGCCGACTCCACAGCCCTTACGCCGCTGGTCTTTATCCTCTCGCCCGGAGCGGACCCTCTTGGCTCCCTGCTGGCCTTTGCCGAGAAGATGGGTCAAGAGGAGACCTTCCAGAGCATTTCCTTGGGTCAAGGACAGGGCCCCATTGCCACGGCTCTGATCAAAAACGCCCAGGAGATGGGCTACTGGGTATGCCTACAGAACTGTCATTTGGCCGCTTCCTGGATGCCCTACCTGGAATACCTCTGGGAGAACATGGACACCTTTAACACCACGCGTGAGTGCTGTTGATATTTTGTAACGGTTCAAAATCTTAAATTCCAAATTCTATTTCAGCCAACTTCCGAATATGGCTAACCGCTTATCCCACGCCCCAGTTCCCAGTCACCATTCTCCAAAACGGTGTCAAGATGACCAACGAACCGCCCACGGGACTCAAGGAGAACCTGATGCGCTCCTACAACTCGGAGCCGATTAACGATTATGAGTTCTACACGGGTTGTGCCAAGCAGGATCGTGCTTTTACCCGGCTGCTCTACGGCATTTGCTTCTTCCATGCGGTAGTCCAGGAACGCCGGAAGTACGGCCCATTGGGTTGGAACATAGCCTACGGATTCAACGAGTCCGATCTGCAGATCTCTGTCCTGCAGCTAAGTGTAAGTTACTTTCATATGTGTAAAGAACAATGCTAAACAGGCAAGGGTTAAGCAAGATAACATCTTTGCTGGGCTCTAGTTCGTACTATTATTGATATAACCAACATATTATCAACATAATCCTGTTCTTTTTAGATGCTGCTGAACCAGTACGACCACGTGCCCTACGACGCCATCTCGTATTTGACCAGCGAGTGCAACTACGGAGGAAGGGTTACCGACAACTGGGATCGCCGGCTCATAGTGACGATCCTGGCAGACTTTTGCAACGCCCAGGCGGTATCGGATAACCGCTACAGGTTCGCCAGCGACGATCGCTACATCCTGCCGAGGAAGACGGAACACCGCGAGATCCTTCGGTATCTGGACGAGAACCTTCCATCGCTGGCGCCACCCGAGGTGTACGGTCTGCATGCCAACTCTGGTATAACCCGAGATTTACAGACCACCAAGACGCTGCTTGATTCGATGATCCTACTGCTGGGCAGCGAGGCTGCGGGATCCGCCGGAGCAGGAGTTAGTGTGGAGCAGATAATCCTGGACACCATCAAGCAGATCGAACGCGAAATGCCGGCGGACATGGACATCGAGGCGGCGGCGGAAAAGTACCCGGTGGACTACAACGAGTCCATGAACACGGTGGTGGTGCAGGAGATGGAGCGTTTCCTCAAGCTGCAGAAGGAGATACGTGGCACCTGCCGGGACCTGGCCATGGGCATTAAGGGCATCATCGTGATGACGCCCGACCTGGAGAACGTGATGACCGCCATGAAGTTCAACCGCATTCCAACCAAGTGGATGTCCAAATCGTACCCCTGCCTAAAGCCACTCGGCTCCTACGTCCAGGATCTGTACAAGCGGCTCAACTGGCTTCACGACTGGCATCATCATGGCAAGCCGCCCACCTTCTGGCTGTCCGGGTTCTTCTTCACACAGGCCTTCCTCACCGGTGCCATGCAGAACTTTGCCCGAAAGTACAAGATCCCCATCGACACGTTGACTTTTGACTACGACGTGCTCAAGGTGGAGACGAAGACGTCGCCTCCAGACGACGGAGTCTACTGCAACGGACTGTTCCTGGAGGGCGCACGCTGGGATTGGCGCGAGAATACACTGGTGGAGCAGTTCCCCAAGGTGCTCATCTATGCCATGCCCGTGATCTTCTTCAGGCCCGTGGGCCTGGTTGATGTGGTTGAAGGATCACGCTACCGCTGCCCTCTTTATAAGACTGGTGAGCGCAAGGGCACGCTGTCCACGACGGGTCACTCCACCAACTACGTGGTTCCGCTGCTGCTAAACACCCATGTCAAGGCTTCCCACTGGGTCAAGCGGAGCGTGGCCCTCATCTGCCAGACCAGCGACTGAGCTTCTCCAAGACCCGTTTTATTGTTAGTGTTCATTAAATCATTTCTATATTGTGTACTATTTTCAGTTAACTTTTTTTAAATTGTTTTACCACATATGTTTAAAACATACCAGTATTGAAATAATATCCATAGTACGAGATTAAAGAACACAATTTTTCATATATATTCTTAAAGATGAAAAATAATTTTTTAAAAATCAACGAAGATATAAAACATCCTATAGAGTCTAAGACAATGGCACAATATATGTAGAATTAGTTTAAGAATAGCTTTTAATCATAATCAAATTAGGTTAAACTACATTCAACCAAATCTAGCCCTAAAATTGAACTATGAAAAAACTAAAAAAAAAATAATCGAGTTAGGGGAAAAACAATGATTTTTAAAGTGGGTTTTATTTTTAAAGTTCTAAAAGCTTGCCATAATTTGCTGTTGCAAGAATTTTTCTAAATTTGTAAAACTATAAAAAACATGTGTAAATCGGTTCAGGTTTTCTATGAGAAATGTTAATTAGTTTCTTTTTTAAGAACTAAGTACCTTTCTAAGTAGATTCTTTTAGGTCTGTGATTTCCAAGCTATTCGCAAACATTCTTGCGTTAGATAAGACGAATCGTCAACTGAATACCTATAAAAGAATGGGTTCGTCTGACTTAAAGTCACACTCAACTCGAACCCTGTTCAAGATGTTCATCCAGTTGGCTTTTTTGATCTCCAGCGTAGCCCTGATCTCCGCGGGATCGATTTCGAAAAGGATTGCAGGCGGACAGCCGGCAACCGTATCAGAGGTACCATGGCAGGCCTCTCTTGTCAGCGAAAATCTTTGCGGTGCTGTTATTTATAGTGACCAGATCGTTTTAACCGCAGCCCACTGTGTCGGATCCGATGATCTAAAAAGGTACACCGTGAGAGTGGGCTCATCGAGCCTTTTCAAAGGAGGTCAGGCGGTGAAGATAGCAAACATCACACGGCACGAAAAATACCAAGGACGCTCAAACTATTTCTCCCATGATATAGCCGTGATCCGACTACAGACCAAACTCAGGTTGGGTGACAACGTAAGACCCATTCCTTTGGCAAATACAGCTCCTAAAGTGGGAACCCCCTTATTGGTTTCCGGATGGGGAGAGATCGGATACAAAAAAAAATCGGAAACACTTCTTAAGGTCGCAGTAAACATAGTGGATCGGAGTGATTGCGAGAAGTACTTTTTGAACATTACTGAAGATAAGATCTGTGCCGCTGCTAACGGGAAGAATTCATGTAGGGGAGACTCCGGAGGTCCACTGGTCTTCGATGGTAAACTTGTTGGCATCGTCTCCTATGGCAATGCTTGTGCTAATCCCTATTTTCCCGGAGTATATGCCAATGTGGCTGAGCTCAGGCCCTGGATCGAAAATGCTGTAAAACGAGTGTGAAGCTTAAAAACTATCTACAAATATTAATAAAAATTCAAAACAATTATTTTTATTAAAGTTGAAACAGTATTCTATTACTATCTTAGTTTTTAACTGCATCATAGACCCTTTCATTAAAAATAATAGGTAAAACAAAGATTTTTTCAATATCTAAACCTACATCATATTTGGGTAGTGATATGTGTGGTATTCAATAAAAAGCTTCAATTCTTCTCAATGAGCATTTATTAAACCTTGTTTACAAATAAAATATGCGCACTTATGTGTTATGGTTACAAATTCACAGCTTCGGAAACGCTTTCTAACATATTTATAATATCGAAAATCATAAGATGACCAAGGACGGCTTTCGAAGCTCATCCACGGCCGCAGACTTACTGCGTGCGGCAGTGCAGCGTGTCCAGCGCAGCGGCGGCGGCTGCTCCCTCGCCATTGTCGTCGTCGGAGCTGTTGCTGTTGCTGCGCGGCTGGGAGGTCGGATTGGAAGGACTGGAGTCGTTGCTAGTACTCGAGCTGTTGTCCCGATGCTGCCGCCCTTGGCGTAGCCAGGACTGGGGTCTCCGGTTTCGAGGGCGGCGAAAGCCGGAGCCTTGCCCGGAACCCTGCAGAAACCCTCGGATGAAGTATTGGAACTGGTTAATGTCAAAGTCACCCCTGTCCACGATGTTGCGCCTGAAATTGCGTTCTAACGTCTGCTTCAGTGCGTCCTCGTCGAGCTTCTGCGGAGAGACGAAACCGGTGAGCATCATATACTTATACTAAGCAGTGACTGATCTTACCTTGGCAGGGCCATTTGGCGTCCAGATCTTTACGTCATGCTCCAGGCCAGAGGTGGCCAGCACCGGCATCCAGGGATGTGGCTCCAGGCAGTTGACCACGCCAGCGTGATCGCCCTTCATAAAATTGATTATCGCCTCGGTGTTTCGGTCCCAGAAGAATATGTTCCCGCAATCGCTACCGCTGACAATATACTCGGATCTAGTGCCAAAGAAGTTCACTCCCTTAATGGTGCGGCTATTGCTGTGGGCGACAGGAGGGGTATGTGAGGGACAAGACACAAGTGATGCAACGTGGACTTACATGTGTCCCTCGTAGCAATGCAAGTACTCGCCATCCTTGGTGTTGCGACTGTCGAAAAGGTAGATCCCCGCATCGCTGTACGAGGCCAGGATCTCGCTGCCGCTGTGGTTATACACGGCGCAGGTAATTTGCGTGATCTTGTTCTGGACACGAGAATAAAAACAGAGATTAGACTGTCTGGCCAAGGGTGTGGCACATGCTCACATCCTTTATATTGGTCGGGGTCATCTCCAAGAGAAGCTTTGTTGGCTTGCGCTTGTCGTAGACCCGCAGCTTGTCGTCGGATCCGCTGACGCAAAACTCTGGGGCGTATGGATGATGTGCGATGCTGAAAAGCCGCACGCGGCCCCGCTCATTTGCGTCATTGTAGACGCAGCGCAGCACCGTGGTAGCGGCGTTGCTGGCGCGCAAATCAAAGTGTTTGACAGCCGCATCCTCTCCGGCGCTCATCACCTCGTGCCGACTGTGCGGCACCAGAACAATCTTGTGCACCGAATCGCTGTGCGTGTACAGGCGTGTGGGTTTAATGGAGCCTCCGGAGGGCGGGATAACGGATCTGCGCACTTGGCCATCACGGCTGGCGGACACAATGTCCAGGCACCCGGTGCTGTCGATAAACTTGGTCTGGAAGATGTTCATGTTGTGGCCGGAGTGAAAGCTGTGCAGGAGTCTTTCGTTCGCCCAGTCCCAAACCATTATTTTGAGATCATCGGAGCCGGAGCAGATCAAGTCACCGGTCCGGTTGAAATTCAGGCAGTTTACGCATCCGTCGTGCTTGTTTAGCGAGCTCAGCAGCGTCAACTGTTCCACCATTTGGCGGGAGCCGTAGTATCCTTGCCCAAAGCTTTGGGTCGAGGTGTGGCCACCACGCCAACCGATGCGGTTCATAATGTTGTGCTCCCTGTGCAACAGTTCCTGGTCGCAGTTCCACGTGTACACGGGCTTGCACTTGCACATCGTTTCATTCACGGCGAACTCGACCTTCGCGCGGTCGTCGGCGTTAACGTGCTCGTTGAACTCCACATCGTCCTGCCGGTTCTTGAGACATTAGTAAAGATTCATTAAATACTCAACTTATGACTAAGATGCACTAAATATCAAATTTACAAAAATTATTTAATTTATGGGAAGGCATGATTAGTGAATTAATTGAAATGCTTCGTAATATTCTAGGACAGGGGTCGAGGTCTGTATCCCAAAAACCTCCCAAAAAAGTCGCTCACCTCAATGGTTGATTCACTTTCACTAGAAAGTGAGTAGCGTACCATTTCGTCGACGGAACTGTCCGAAGAGGACTCATCTTCATGCTGATCCTCCTCAGCAGCAGCCGCCGGCTCATCACTGTCCGCTTCCACTTCCGCGTCCTCGGTATCCTCCTGCAACTCTGGTTCACCGGAATCGCTGGATTCCGAGTCCGTTACCGTGCCCAACAGCTCTATGTTGATGCGGCGATATGAGCGGTTGGTTGGGATGCTGCGAGAGTGGAACCTGGGAAAACCCCTGGCGGGGGTTTCATCTTCAGCTGGTGGTGGGTCGTCATCGCTGTCGATGGCTATGGTGCCACTGGTGAGATTTGGCTTGTTGGCTGCCAGCACGGCACTGGCGGCGAGAGAAGATAATTGACACTCTAGGTTGGAGGAGCACGCCGGTTCTTCGTCCGACTGCTGATGCTCTGACTGTTCCTTCTCGTCATTTCCCTCTTTCAGCTCCTCCTCCTTTGACTTATCCGCATGCTCCCTCCCCAGCGGCTCCTCCTTTTGCTCCTTCTCCAGTTTCTCCTTCTCCGACTCCCTCTCCAGCTGCTTTTTTTCCTCCATTGAATGCTCCTTGCCAAACATGTCGCCCTCCTCGTTGTTGTTGTTGGTTGTGATTGTGACGCCTTTGATTACCGTCTGGTTTGCTGTGACAGTGCTCTCCCCGCTGGGTTCCCAGGGCAAAAATCAATTGGTTATCCAAGCCGCAAAGCTTACTTAACCATAGAGACCACACTTACCCAATCTGCGCCGCGTCTTCAAGTTGGCCCTCGTTCCTGGAATCAGTGTTGCGTCTCTGGCGCTTGCAGGCGGAAGCCGCTCCGCTGGCCACAGGGTCCTCCTCCACGTCCATGCTGGTGGAGCTCGCTCTATAATCTCTGTTTTCCTTTCTTTAAGTGCCGCTCCGCTTATATTTTGCCCTGTTTTCCCGTGCACGCACTTGTTTACGTCCAAAAACAGCGATGGCACTTTCTTCTTGCACCAAAAGCCCGATAGGCCGATAGATTTGGCGCGTGTGCTCGATGCGTTTAAAAAAGTCTGTGTAAAAGAAATTATATTTAATTTACTTTGGATTTTGGGAATTTGACTTTTGACTACTTGACTCCTACACTCAGCAATAAGAAGAGTAATACAAAAAATTATAATTGACTTACCTTCAAAGTGTTTTCTAAGGTTTTAAAGAAAAAATTGTAATATATTTTTGACATCTATGCTCAATCCAAATCATATTCAGGCCAACTAGATCCCTTGGAAAGGTACAATTTTATATTTTTTATTTTTATAAAATTAAAAAAGAAATTCTTACATTACAAAAAATGATTTATGATTACGATTAAGCCAGTTTCGAGTTAATAATTATTACTTTAAAGAAGATTTTTAAGAATGTTTAACATATAAACTTTAAAATGTATATTATATTATACATAAATATTATAATATTATATTTTTTTCTTTGACATTTTTGTTAAAGTTTTTAAATATTTTGAAAAGCCCTCTGTGAAACCAAAGATCTCTTGAATGCTATAAACTCTTATGAAATCTCTCAGGAAAGTTTGTGCTCTTCGTGGTGATTTTATGCTGAGCGCGACTTGTGCTCCCGCGACGTCTTGGCATTTTGGCTCTTGGACGACTTGGGGAGAGTGCTACATATGTATGCGACTGGGTGGATCGGGTTCGGCTTGAGTGGCTCTACAGAGACGGATCCGAGTATATGTATCAATTTGCGCTGTGGCCACGAAGAAGGAAAGAGAGTTGAGTTCATTTATAAGCGGACTGGCTTCGAGGGCGGTGCACAGTGTTTTTGTGTCGTCGCCAAAGCGGAATAACAACACCAGTTCGGGTAATAAAACATAGGGCATACCGTACAGAATGCCGAACCGTTTAAATTCGATACGCTGGACACGTTAACGTTACTTAAAAGAGAAAAAACAGTGAATTTACTTGGGTCTTCGATGTCACCTGAGGGTTTCCCCTCGCCTTTGTGCTCGTGTGTGTTCGTTAATTGGCTCTCCACTTCCTCTGCTGCGCATGCGCAACCTACAAAGTTCGAATACAGCCAGCAATCCATCTGGGAGTTGATCTCCCACCCCAGCTGATGTTTGTTCTCGGCTTCATGGCCTGGTTTTTTCCTCTCGATTTCGATTTCGTACCCGTGTTTTTTTCGACTCGGGTCTTAACTCGTGATGAACGCCAAATTCCGGTTTACCTGGGGCAACCTGAGCAACAAAAACTAATAAAAAAAGAAACAAATTAATATGCATAAGTTTGGTGGTAAGGAAAAACAAAGCCGGAAAGTGAAACCGCCTCGTAGCTTTGTTTTCCACCCATTTCTCGGTGCGCACTTCCCATTTTCCAGCTCTCACAATATTACCAACTTTTAAGTGCCTATCCATGCCGTTCGTTATCAGACCCGAGATACCAAGGCCAACTTGTTTAACCTTCCGAAGGTAAATGTAAAAACAGTCTGCAGCTGGGAATTTTATGATTCACGGTTCTGTTCGATGCACCAAAGATTCGCTGACTTGACCAGCTATTTAAGGGCGCACCGGCGAAAGTTGAGAATCAGGTTGGACAACCCACTCGAGTCGCCAGTCGGCTTCTATATCCACAGCTTTGTGACTGATCCAAGCCGGGCTATAAAGAACAAAGCGAATTCTTTGATTACATTCGACTTGATTTAGATTCGTAATATCCATTTGCAGTGACTCACGGTTCGGTTTGTAGGTCTTCATAAACACATTAATACACTTTAAAGAATTGCCTCAGCTCTTGATTTATTTATTAAAACAAATTAAAAATTTCTTAGAAAATTAGTTTATAAATAAGTATATTATCTTTAGGGGCTATCACAACATGAATAATTTGTCTTGAATTTTATGCTTATCTCTAAGAAACGGATGTGAAGTACATAAAATCTTTTGAACACAAAGACTTTGACTTTCAAATGACAGTCTTCTTAGAGTTTACATGGGTTTACATCAGTCGATTCTTGTGCCTTTCACTTTTCCCGTCCAATTAAGAACACAATTGAGCTGAATTGGAATTATGAATTGTCACAACATAGTTGCAGGCAAACCACGCAAAGCACTTAGCTCGGTTCCGACCCGTCTTCCGTCCTCCCCAGAAAAACCAAGCCACAACAGATGACGCTAAGGGGCGGACTTGGTAACGAAGCACCGCAGCTGTGGCTGCTCCTCCTCCTGGCATCCATTTCGGGCAGCTTGTGGGCTTCAGTGGCCGCCAGGACAGGTGAGTCTTACGCAAAGGTAAACCACAAAAGGGGTGGATAACTTACAGTTCTTATTTACAGGACCTTTGCATGATAAGGTGGTAGTTTGCTACATATCCACCTGGGCTGTTTACAGACCGGAGCTGGGCGCTTATTCCATAGACAACTTCGATGCCAACCTGTGCAGCCATGTGGTGTACGCCTTCGCGGGTCTGGACATCACACAGGCGGCCATCAAGTCGTTGGGTGAGTTTTCGGTTCGATTTATGGACGTATGCAAATTGAAAGGCTTCCTTTGGGATTACACGGGGAAAAAAGTTTAGAGATGAGAATGAAGATCAAGAATAAGAAATGAAGCAGTATATTTTCTGACACCAATTTTACTAGACAGACTGTTTGTCTCTTTTTGTTCTAACAGTTTTTTAGTTCCACTTTACAATATCAAGTTTACATTTTTTTGATATTTGGTATTGATATTATTCAATTAATCCCCTTAAATATCTGATAACTGATCCTTTGGTTTCCTTTATCGTATTAAATATATTTTTTTCCCGTGCAGATCCCTGGCAGGACCTCAAGGAGGAGTACGGCAAGGGTGGCTACGAGAAGCTAACGGGCCTGAAGCGCACCCATCCGCATCTGAAGGTCAGCCTGGCCATCGGCGGCTGGAACGAGGGATCGGCCAACTACTCCACGCTGGTGGCCAACAGTCTGCTGCGCGAGAGGTTTGTCAAGCAGGTGTCCAGCTTTATACGCAAGTACGACTTCGATGGACTGGACCTGGACTGGGAGTATCCCACGCAGCGGAAGGGCAAGCCCGCCGATCGCGAGAACTTCGTCCTGCTGACCAAGGAGTTGCGCGAGGAGTTCGACAACCACGGACTGCTGCTGACCTCCGCCATCGGGGCGGCCAAGAAGGTCATCGACGAGGCCTACGACGTGCGGCAGATCTCGCGCTATTTGGACTACCTGCACATCATGTGCTACGACTACCACGGCAGCTGGGACCAAAGAGTGGGCTACAACGCACCGCTCTCGGCGCCCGCGGATGATCCGCTGAGTGTGGTAAGTGGTGAAGCACCTGCAAGGGATGTTCCTTGAAAAAATATGAGTTGCTGGGAATTTCCTGGAATTTTTCAGTTTGTTAGATTATATAACTGAGATTATCGGGAACTGAATATATACATGCAATTATAGCCCAATAATAATGTCCTTTACAAGAAACGATCCAACTCTAAGGACCCCTTTAGAATATTATAACTTGGATCATTTTTAAAGCAGTACCCATTTTAGAAAGGAATTAAAAAGTATATGAATCTAAGAATAATATAAAAATAACTTGAAAAAGACTATTTCCAATTATTATATATTATATTTGATTTAATACAATGATATTCTTCCCATCCAAAATCCGTTGTAGTAAGTTTATTAAGATCTTAAACATTTCAGAAAAAGTTAGTTAATATCAGAAAATCATAAATCCTAGTTTGAAGACCGATCCTTAAAACCTCTTATTTTGCAGAAATTCTCCATTGACTACCTGCTGAAGCTGGGGGCCCCACCTGAGAAGCTAGTTATGGGCCTGCCCTTCTATGGACGCACCTTTAAGACGGTGGCTGGGGGCAACCTGAACGACCCGAGCGATGGAGTTGGCTTCAAGGGACCCTACACGCGCGAGGATGGCTTCCTGGGCTACAACGAGATCTGCCACACAGTGAGCAACCAAACCTCCGGATGGACTCGGGTATGGGATCCCCAAACTAGCCAAGTGTTGGCCAAGTCGGAGCGGAACGTCTTCACCCAGGAGATAAACGTGGTGACCTACGATAGCTCCCGTTCCATTGCCAACAAGGTGCTGTTCGCCATGTCCAAGCGGTTGGCGGGAGTGATGGTGTGGTCCGTGGATACGGACGACTTCCTGGGGAACTGCAAACTGGACGAGGATACGTACGAGGACTTCCAGAAGGTGACTGCAGCGCCGAGGAGATCGAGCCAGAACTACCCCCTTCTGAGGACCATCAATGAGGCCACCATGCTGGCCGTGGAGGAGCTGGCTGTTCCAGAGCCGCAGCCGGATGACACCGAGAACGAGATCCCGCACGGCAGTATTGCGGATCGGAAGAACGCCGGCGCTTCTGTGGTCAGTTTGGGTCTCGGGATCACCGCTGTCTTCATGCTCCTGCACCGGGTGGCCCAGTGAGAGATTGGGTCGGGTCCACCGGTGGCCATAGTCTAAGAAACACATCACCTTGTTTACGTAGTCATTAAAGTCCAAATTGTAAATTTTAAGATAATACGATGGCTTTTTTTTGATTCTTAGAGGGGCGTTATCACCAAGGGAAACTTAGGTAACCATTCGTATCATCTATAATCAAATGTTCTTAGTGTAGCTTAGGTTTTTACTAAGTGGAAAATGAAAGGAAAGTCCTATGACACTGAAGTCATATTTCTTCGAGCTATTAAAATTATAAATCTTTGATATATTGATCATGGTACTAACTTTGTACCAGAACATTTTTCTAAATAGTTTCTCTCTCAATTCTCAAAACCCATTTTGATTTCTAACTTCCGTCATAATTCCAACGTCCCATTAAAAAACCTTTTAAATTTTGTTAAAATGTTTTGGTTATACTTGGTGTACTTGTTTAATAAATTTAACTGGCGCTCTAACATTTAACTAACTAGTCATATATTTGTGTATGTGTATATGGGTGTGTGTATACGCAACTATGTAAATACGCAGGTAAATATAACATAATTTGTATATAATATCCATAGATTATCATTGCTACAAGTTGTCAACA